TAATTTAGAGAGTTTGAAGGTCTCTCCCTTATTGATTCTCTTACTACTATATAACACAACACACTTACTCAAAGAACTTGCTAATTAACTAATTTTAGAAACAAGTATATGTGTAGTACATAACTAATTTTAGAAACAAGTTATATGTAATGTATATAACTTGTTACATATTTCTCAAGATTATATCTGTAAATATCCGAATCAAGTGGCTATAAAGGAAAAAGTTATATATCATTTTTAGCATTCACTCTGAAACCGAAATAGTAACGTATTAAACAGCCCATTGCAGCTAATATTCAACAATATGACACACTTTTATAGAAGATGGATAAAAATCTAAACCGTAATAAAAAAAATTTGATTCGATCGACTTGTCTTTTTTTTGGGTCAAACGATAAACCTGTTAAAAATAGTTATTTAGCAACAGAAACACTAACCATAACAGGTATGTTCCGTTAGTAAGTTGTGGAGACTATAAAGAAGCCCCTTATTAATCACATTCCATCATCACTATCACATATATTCTCTAAACATTGAATTGAGAAGAGGGAAAAATGAGTTCTCTAATTTCTCAAACCATAATAGTATTAGTCTCCATTATATCGTTTTCTGCGGTTCAAGCCAATAACATTCCAGCGGTTTTTGCGTTTGGAGATTCGATACTCGATACAGGCAACAATAACAATCTTCTGACCCTAACAAAAGTTAATTTTTTTCCATATGGAAGAGAATTTGTAAATCGAAGAGCCACAGGAAGATTTGGCAATGGAAGAATTCCTACTGATATGATTGGTATAGTTTTCTACAATAAAAATATATAATTTTCACTATTTTTTTGTTATAAAAGTGAATTGCATCATTTACACTTTCGGTGAATCATTATGCATGCAGCCGAAGGTTTGGGAATAAAGAACATTGTACCAGCTTATCGTAGTCCATTTCTCCAACCCAATGATATTTTAACCGGTGTTAGCTTTGCTTCTGGTGGTTCTGGTTTAGATCCATTGACCGCAAGACTTCAGGTAAATTACCTAATATATGTGCTTTTTATTTTTGAAGTATCTAACTATTATTAATGTTGCTAATTAATGATTTCATATTCATTAAAATACAAAATTATAGGGAGTTATTTGGGTACCAGACCAGTTAAAGGACTTCAAAGCTTACATAGCAAAGCTAAATAGCATCACAGGAGATGAAGAGAAAACGAAATCAATCATAACAAATGCAGTTTATGTCATTTCTGCTGGAAATAACGATATTGCCCTCACATATTTCCCAAATCCTTTAAGAAATACTCGTTATACTGTCTTCTCATACACCAACCTGATGGTTTCATGGACTCAATCATTCATGAAGGTATAATCATTTTGAAACTTAATTAATGCGACTTAAATTTGATTATTTTGTCAAGAAAATAACATTGATATATAGGAGCTATATAATTTGGGAGCGAGGAAATTTGCGATTATGGGAACGTTGCCATTAGGTTGCTTACCAGGAGCAAGCAACGCTCTTGGAGGGATATGTCTAGAACCCGCAAACGCGGTGGCTAGACTCTTTAACCAGAAGCTAGCAAAGGAAGTCAACAATCTTAACTCGATGCTTCCTGGTTCTCGTTCGATCTACGTTGACATGTATAATCCTCTTCTTGGCCTTGTCAGGAACCCTCTAAGATCAGGTAGATTCTAAAATCACCAAAATCTTTAGTGATTATTGAGGCTCCGATTTGTTACAGTGTAGTAGCGGACAAAACTTAACAAAATACCGTGTTTTTGGTCTGTTACGTTCCATACGTACAGTTCAATCAATTTTTTTTTCCTCATCATATTTTTGGTTTCTTTTAGGATTCACCTCGCCGACTAGACCTTGTTGTTGTGCTCCGATGGCTCCGGTTCCGTGCATGGATCCATCTCGACATGTGTTTTGGGACATTGGACACCCATCGGAGAGAGCTTATCAGACTATTATCCCTCCGATTATCCAACAAATCCAACAAAGCTTCGCTTGATTTCGGTGTCTTCGTCCACAATTAATTCTACTTTTTTTTTTCAACAACAATTATTCTATTTATGTATATATAAATGATTTGTTCTTCTTGTAAGTGTTAAATGTTGTTTATCTTGTTTATGAATATATACATCTAACGGCTAACGCCTCAATATTGTTTTCTCTCTTTATCGAAAAGAAATATTGTTTTCTCCATGTATACAAATACAATCGTTATTTACAAGTCGTTCTGACGTTCTGCATGGCGTACGTTATATATATATATTTTCTTCAATTTTTGGGCCCTTTTGAAAGATTTAGGCACAATTTTCGCTAAGCTCACTTAAA